CTCTCTTCTCCTCTCTCTCTCTCTCTCTCTCTCTCTCTCTCTCTCTCTCTCTCTCTCCCTCTCTCCCTCCTCTCTCTCTCTCCTCCTCTCTCTCTCTCTCTCCTCTCTCTCTCTCTCTCTCTCTCTCTCTCTCTCTCTTCTCTCTCTCTCTCCCCTCTCTCTTCTCTATCTCCCCTCTCCTCTCTCTCCCCCTCTCTCCTCTCTCCCCTCTCTCTCTCTCTCTATCTCTCTCTATCTCTCTCTCTCTCTCTCTCTCTCTCTCTCTCTCTCTCTCTCTCTCTCTCTCTCTCTCTCTCTCTCTCTCTCTCTCTCTCTCTCTCTCTCTCTCTCCCTCCCTCCCTCCTCTCTCCCTCTCCCTCCGTCCCTCCATAATCTCTACTCTCCTCCCTCCTCTCTTCCCTCCCTCTCTCCCTCTCCCTCTCCCTCTCCCTCTCCCCTCTCCCTCTCCCTCCCTCTCTCTCCCTCTCACCCCCACCCCTTCCTTCCCCCACTTGCGCCTCCCTCACGCCAACATTCCTGTGAATCACGTCTTGGTCGTGGGTGTGGGAGGGGTTAGGGAGAGAGGGTACGGGGGGGGGGGCGGGGGACGGAGGAATTTTCGTACCCCCCCGCCCCTCCCCTCCCCCTTCCCCTCCCCCCCTGGGCTTCGATAGGTTTCATTTTGATGCGGGATATCGAAGGGAAGTGTGGGTGTTTTTGCGTGCTTTTATCCTCTTCTGTTTGTGTTAATGTGGATGGTGTTGTTGTCTGGTTTGTGTGTGTGTGTGTGTGGTGGTGTGTGTGTGTGTGTGTGTGTGTGTGTGTGTGTGTGTGTGTGTGGTGTGGTGTGTGTGTGTGTGTGTGTGTATGTGTGGTGTGGCATGGTTTGTGCGTGTGCGTGTTGTGTGTGTGTGCGTGTGCGTGTGCGTGTGCCGTGTGCGTGTGCGTGGTGCGTGCGTGTGTGTCCCGAATCCANGCATTCCGTGCGTACGTGCGCGCGCGTGAGAAAGAGAAAGAGAGACAGAGACAGAGACAGACAGACCGATAGATAGATAGAGAGAAAGTGTGCGTGTAATGTGTGTGCGTGTGCGTGTTGCGTGTGCGTGTATGTGTGGTGTTGCGTGTGCGTGTGCGTGTTGTGTGTCCCGATCAAGTCCTTTCGTGTTGGTCTCCGCAAGCGACCTCGTTCTCGGCCAGGGCGTGTCGGAGAGTTAATGAAGTGTCGAGTCAGTCCGAAGTGGTTCGAAGAGGTTCACGTTTCCGATTATTAAAAAAAAGAAAGAAAGAAAGAAAAAAAAAAGCTTTTTCTAAAGATTTCTGAGTTGAATTAATGTCTGAATCTCCAGATCTGCAAAAGATTTATAGAGTAGATGATAGATAGGGAGATGTAAATGATAGCGTGTGAACAGATGGTGATGAGATGGATCGGGAGATGAGTCTCGGCGCGGCGTTGTGAGCTGATAGATAGAGGATAGATAGAGGGTAGGTAGAGGATAGGTAGAGGGTAGGTAGAGGATAGATAGTAGGGGGTAGGTGGATGAGATAAGAGGGAGGTAGAGGATAGATAGAGGGTATAGAGTATAGAGGATAGGAAAGAGAAGTAGAGATAGAGGGTAGTAGAGGATAGGTAGAGATAGATAGAGGTAGGTAGAGGATAGGTAGAAGATAGAGGGTAGGTAGAGGATAGATAGAGGGTAGGTAGAGATAGAGAGATAGATAGAGGGTAGGTAGAGGATAGGTAGAAGATAGATAGAGGGTAGGTAGAGGATAGATAGAGGATAGTAGGTAGATAGAGGATTAGATAGAGAGGATAGATAGAGGATAGGTAGAGGATAGATAGAGGGTAGGTAGAGGATAGTATAGAGAGGATAGATAGAGGGTAGGTAGAGGATAGGTAGAAGATAGATAGAGGGTAGGTAGATGATAGATAGAGGATAGGTTAGAGGATAGAGGATAGATAGAGGGTAGGTAGAGGATAGGTAGAGGGTAGGTAGATGATAGATAGAGGGTAGGTAGAGGATAGATAGAGGATAGGAAGAAGATAGGTAGAGGATAGATAGAGGATAGGTAGAGGATAGGTAGAGGGTAGGTAGATGATAGATAGAGGGTAGGTAGAGTATAGATAGAGGATAGGAAGAAGATAGATAGAGGATAGATAGAGGGTAGGGGTAGAGGGATAGGTAGAGGATAGATAGAGGATAGGAAGAAGATAGGTAGAGGATAGATAGAGGATAGATAGAGGATAGGTAGAGGATAGGATAAGAGGGTAGGTAAGGATAGATAGAGGATAGGTAGAGAATAGATAGTGTGACGGATCAGAAGATGATTTCCCGGCCGCAGGATATCCTGACGTAGGATATCTTTTGGTCTCGTTTCCCGCAGGTGCTCGCTGGGTTTCCTGTGGGAGGCCTTCCTTCTGGGACTTCTCTCTCTCCCTCTGTTCCTCTTTCTCTTTTCCCCTTTTTTTTCTGGTCTGGCTCATTTGTCTTTCTCTTGTGCCTTCTTCATCGACTCCTCCTCCTCCTCGTGTGTGATTTTCTTCGCTTGCTCGGTCTGTCCTTACTCTTTCGTGTTCTCTGCTCCGTCTCTCTCCCTCTCCTTCCCTCTCCCACCCCTCCTTCTCCTCTTCCACCCCTCCTTCTCCTCTTCGTCTTCGGTGATGGGGTTCTCACCATCAACATCATACTGTGTTATTACCATCGCCGTCATGAGTCACCAATGTTTAGGATTAGGGGGTAGGAGGGGAGAGAGGAGGGGTGGGGGGTAGGATCACAGATGTAGGTGATTAGGCAGCAGGTGCATCGCAGGTGTGTTCGGCGTGGCACAGTTTTTTTTCCGTTCCATCATCTGCTCGGCCACGTTCTGCCGCCGGTCAGCCCCCCCCCCCTTCCCCTCCCCTTCCCCTTCCTACATTTCTTCTTCGTCTCGTTTCGTATACTCCTCTCTTCTCTCTCTCGCGCCCTCTATTTTCCTCTCCTCCCCTCCCTCCTCTCCCCTCCTCCCCCCTTTCTCTTCCCCCCCCCCTTCCCTTCTCTTCTCCTTCCCTTCCCTTCTCTCCTTTCCCCTCCTCTCCGTACCAGCCCCCATCCGCCGGGTTGTCTGCCATCTTTTTTTTCTTCATTGTCGTCGTCTTCTCTTTTCTTCTTCATTGTCGTCGTCTTCTTTTTTATTTTTTCTTCTACTTCTTTCTTCTTATTATTATATTTATATTTTTTCTTCCTCGTCCTCTTTCTTCTTCTTTTTCTTTTACTTCGTCTTCTCTTTCTCCTCCTCTTCCTTCTCCTCCTCCTCCTCCTCCTCCTCCTCCTTCTCCTCCTTCTCCTCCTTCTCCTCCTCCTCCTCCTCTCCTCATTCCATATTATCATCATCAGTCATCATTATTGTTGTTATTACTATTGTTGTTGTTATCATCATAATCATCATCAACATCATTATTATTACTATAGTGGCTGTTGCTGTCATTATTTTCATTGTTGTTGTTTTCTTGTCGATTTTATATCCTTACCATTTCCTAATTATTATCATTATCATCATTATCATTATCTTCATCATCGCCATCCCCACCTTCGTCACAACCACCACTACCACTACCCACTACCCACTACCACCCACCCAACCATCACCCACTACTACCACTACCACTACCACCCACCCACCATTACCCACTACTACCCACTACCCACACCCACTTACCCACCCACCCACCATTACCCACTACTACCCACTACCCACTACCCACTACACCACCCCACCATCCCCACTACTACCCCACTACCACACCCTCCATTACCCACTACTACCCACTACCCACTACTACCCACCTACCATCACCACTACTACCCACTACCCCACTACCACTCACCCACCATCACCCACTACTACCCACTACTACCCACCCACCATCACCCACGGACTAACCACCCACCATCACCCACGACTACCCACTACCCACTACCCACCACCATCACCCACTACTACCCACTACTACCCACTACCACCACCCCACCATCACCCACTACTACCCACCCACCATCACCCACGAACTACCCCACCCCATCAGCCACGGACTACCCAACACCCATACCCACCCACCATCACCCACTACTACCCACTACCCACTACCACCCACCCACCATCACCACTACGACTACCACTACCCACTACCACCCAGTACCACTTACCACTACCACTACCCACTACTACCCACTACTACCACTACCCACCCACCCCACTACTACCCACTACCACCACCCACCATCACCCACTACTACCCACTACCACCCACCCACCACTCAACCCACCATCACCCACTACTTACCCCTACCACCCACCCACCATCACCCACCATTACCCACTACTACCCACTACCACCCACCCACCATCACCCCCATCACCCACTACTACCCACTACCACCCACCCACCATCACCCACCATTATCCACTACTACCCACTACCACCCACCACCATCACCACCATCGCCCACTACTACCCACTACCACCCACCCACCGTCACCCACCATTACCCACTATACCCACTACCACCCACCCACCATAACCCACTACCACCCACCAACCATTACCCACTACCACCTACTACCCACTACTACCACCACCACCCACCACCACCACCCACTACCACCACACCACCACCATTACGCACACCACCCACACACCCACCACCACCCACTACCACCCACTACCCACCCACCACTACCCACTACCACCACCCACCATTACCACCCATCCACTACCACCCACCCACCATTACCCACCCATCCTACAACCACCACCATACCCACTACCCCCACCACCACCACCACCACCCACACCACTACCACCCAGTACCCACTACCACCCACCCACCATTACCCACTACCCACTACTACCCACCCACATCACCCACTACTACCCACCACCACCCACCACCACCCACTACCCACCACCCACTACCCACCACCCACTACCCACCACCCACCACCAATGATGATTACCATTCTAAACTCTACTTCTTTTCCGTGACAGGTTCAATGGCGGCAAGATCTACACGTACATCGGCGAGGTATGCGTGTCCGTCAATCCGTACCGTACCATTAATTTGTACGGCAAGGAGTACGTCACCCAGTACAAAGGTAAAGGAGGATGGGAGGGATGGGTGGAGGGTGGGAGGGTGGGAGGGTGGGAGGGTGGGTGGGAGGGTGGAGGGGAGGGTGGAGGGAGGGGGAGGGTTGGGATGGGGTGGATGGTGGATGGGTGGAGGGAAGGATGGATGGGAGGGTAGATGGGTGGGAAACGGAAGGGACGGATGGAAGAACGAATGGGGAGGGTGGACGGATGCAGGCAGAAGGATGGAAGGATGGATAGGACAAAGATAGAAGACGGGATGAGAGTTGGAAGGATGCCGGCAGAAGGATGGAAGGATGGACAGGTGGAGGGAGAAAGATGGATGGGAGAAGGATAGAAGAAAGGAAGGGAGAAAGAAGAATACAACGAGAAAGATACAAGGATTGAGACGCGGAGGAAGTAAGGTGGAAGGGAGGAGGATAGAAGGATGGAGAGAACGCGAATGGATAAATGGAGAACAGGAGTAATGGAAGGAAAGAAGGCAGAGGGATAGAAGGAAGATAGAGGAATAAGGGTGAAGTGAATATAGAAGAAAGGAGGAATAGAGGATAGAAGGAAGGAGAGAATAAAATGGAGAGGTGGTGGATAGAAGAAAGAAGAGAATGACAGTGGAAGGACGGATGGAAAGAGAAGAAAGGAGTGGGAATGGATGAATGAAGGACAGATGGAAGAAAGGAAGGAGAAGGATAGGAGGGAGGAGAGAATTTAGTCAGCGGGGATTGAGGATAGAAAAAGGGGGGGAGTGAAGTGGGGGAATTGAGGATAGAAGGAAGGATAGATAGGTAGAGGATAGAAAGAAGGAAGGATAGATAGAGCACAGGAGGAAGGAAGGATAGATAGAATCAGAATCAGAATCAAAACGTTTATTTAGCCTTAAAACAGTAATTACATTGAAGTAAAAAAAATACATATAATGATACATGGCTGGATTACATTTATGTATAGATTGCATTTATGCTTTATCTTAAAAATAATTATATACAGAACATTTTATATATATGTATAACACCCCCCCCCCCCTCTCTTGTCTCCTCATCTCCCTTTTTTTAAATTTTATATTCTCACTTACACCCCCCCCCACTTCTTGTCTCCTCATCTCCCTTTTTTCTATTTTATTTTCTCACCCCCCCACCTCAGTCACCTCATCTCCCTTTTTTCTATATTATTTCTCTCACTAACACCCCCCGCCCCTCTTCTTCTCTCCTCATCTCCCTTTTTTTTTATCTTATTCTCTCACTAACACCCCCCGCCCTCCTCTTCTCTCCCCCCCCTCCTCCAGGCCGCGAGATCTTCGAGCGCCCCCCCCCCCCTTCCTCTTGTCTCCTCATCTCCCTTATTTTTCTCACTAACCCCCCCCCCCTCTTGTCTCCTCATCTCCCTTTTTTAAAATTTTATATTCTCACTTACACCCCCCTCCTCTTCTCCCCCCAACCCAGGCCGCGAGATCTTCGAGCGCCCCCCCCCTTCCTCTTGTCTCCTCATCTCCCTTATTTTCTCACGAACCCCCCCCCCCCTCTTATCTCATCTCCCTTTTTTTTATTTTATATTCTCACTTACACCCCCCTCCTCTTCTCCCCCCCCCCAGGCCGCGAGATCTTCGAGCGCCCCCCCCCCCTTCCTCTTGTCTCCTCATCTCCCTTATTTTTCTCACGAACCCCCCCCCCCCCCCTCTTATCTCATCTCCCTTTTTTATTTATATCTCACTTACACCCCCCTCCTCTTCTCTCCCCCCCCTCCAGGCCGCGAGAGATCTCGAGCGCCCCCCGCACGTGTTCGCCCTCGCCGACGCGGCCTACAAGGCGATGAAGCGCCGCGGCCAGGACACCTGCATCGTGATCTCGGGGGAGTCGGGCTCGGGCAAGACGGAGGCCTCCAAGATCATCATGCGGTACATCGCCGCCGTGACCAACGTCGCCGGCCAGCAGGAGATCGAGAGGTGAGCTGGGGGGGGGGAGGGGGTGGGAGTGGGGTATGGGTGTGGGGTGGGTTGGGAATGGGGTGGGGTGGGAAGGAGGCCTCCAAGATCATCATGCGGTACATCGGCCGCCGTGACCAACGTCGCCGGCCAGCAGGAGATCGAGAGTGAGCTTGGGGGGAGGGTCAGAGTGGTAGGGAGTGGTATTGGTGTGGGTTGGGTTGGGAATGGGGTGGGGCTGGGAAGGAGGCCTCCAAGATCATCATGCGGTACATCGCCCGCCGTGACAACGTCGCCGGCCAGCAGGAGATCGAGAGGGTGAGCTTGGCGGGAGGGTCAGAGTGTGGTGGGAGTGGGTATGGGTGGGGGTGTGAGTGGGATGGGTGGCGGGAAGGAGGCCTCCAGATGATCATTGAGGGTACATCCGCCGCCGTTGACCAACGTCGCCGGCCAGCAGGAGATCGAGGAGGTGAGCTTGGGGGGG